ATGCATCATCCCAATATTGACTAATTTGAAAAAGATAAATCGATTTCTTTACAATTGCAAGATCTCACTCCATTTTAAAAATGTATTTGCCCTTAAATTGGCCTTTTTTTATTGTATAAATGCATTTTATAATTGTAGAACCTGAAGAGAATTTATTAAAAAGAATATTCTTTGTTCAGATTGTTGCTTTTTATAAACATCAGAATGATTTATATGCAGTTAAATAATGTGATCGTAGAGGAAATAAGGGAACGAATAAGTAAGCCAAGAGTAGTTGTTAGTTTACTGAAGGCAAGGGGTGTTCGCAAGCTACACACAGTATTATTTTCAGTACACAGTGTATGACATCTAGAGCTGTATTAATATCTGTTTGATGTCCTGTCTTTACTAGATGCGGTAAGATAGAACTTTTCACCACTTTCACTTCACCTTCTCCAACCCAAGCCAGTAAATGTTCTCGTATCCGGAGACGCAACTGTTTAATCTTACACTTTATGTAACTTGTTTCACGGGAACAGTTCGGCTGATATATTCAAGACGCGGAACTAAGGTTAGATAATCTAACGTTTAGTCTCACAGTGAGCATTAGCCTACTACTTAAGAGTCTGCAAAGACAACCTGAATAAAACGTTCCACTTACTGTTCTACCTAAGAATTTTGATAGGATGTCATCTAGAGAATCTCATATAAGTTGTATTCACAGAAAAAAGGCTTCTCCACTATCAAAATTTTTCGTTTAGGATTCCTGTAAGCTATATGTGATGTGATGAACGTTTTCGGATATCAATTTTCACTTTCCTCATTTTCTATCTGTTTTAAACACAAATACGCTAAAATAGCTTTGCCAATAGATGAGTTCTTCTTAAAACCTAGAGAGTTTGAGGAGCACGTCTGCTTCTCGAAAAGCTACACAGTGTGCATCGTTGAAAATAGGTTTTATGAAAATACATTTTTGGATACTTTCATCTTTTCGAGTAAAGAAACCATACGAAGACTTTAGTGTTGAACTGGCAACCTAACAAAAATATCATTGTTTTAAATAGACTGGCCGACAGTATATTACAACAGACCAAGGAATTGATGTCTCATATTGGAAGGTGATAGATATTCAACATTTTTTTTTCTGTCGAGATTCAACGGTTTTAAACTGAGTTGGATATAGATGTATAATAAATCTAACTGAGTACATGAAATCTCCATCCTTTGCTCTAACTATACACATTAGTTGCATGGAGTGATCGACCAAGTAATTACTTCCTTTTGTGTGTGCGAGTACCACCAAAAACATTATGGTATAGTGACCATCAAGTTGACGTCTAACTTGGCTTTGATAACAATATATAGAGGGTATGAAACGTTGCGGCACAGTGTACAGTCATACACGGAAAAGGCTTATATATATGCATACTCTTTGATTACATAATATTGCTGATCATGAAAGGCAAGTTGGTACGTCGAATTGTGTATATGGCAAATATCTTGGGAAAACGAAATTTATTGTGGCTGTCAGACAGCTAAATATTTACGAACAGGTTGACTTTACAGCTTCTAGAAATCAATGTTAGAAAGAGACCTATTTTATCATTTATAAGAATTACCGAACTAAACCGATGCTAATTTTCGTTAAAGTTATATCAGGCTTCACCTTTTAGTAAAGTATTTTTAAAATGAAGACACAGAGACAGATCGACTGGTCGCATAAATTTAGAGAGTGAAAGTTAGTAAACAGTTGGTTGTTAATTGTACTGGTATTTGCATTTCTCTACAAGCTAAAGGCAGGATTAGATTGACTTCATCCACTAGGAAATGCAAATGCCAGAATAATGAATAACATTTATCCAACATCCATATTTTTTTAAACTATCATATTTCGGATCGTTTCAGATATGCATAAACTATAACTTGTTGGTTTTTACGATATAAATTGTCTTTCTATTCTAAAATGATTTCGATAACTACGGTTTGAAGTCACCATAATCGATAAAACTAATAGTCAAGGTTAAAAAGGATCAGCAAATTCTGTAAGATTGTATTTTATTCCCATAAATTTCTTGTTTGAGATTTTTTTAATTCTAGCAAAATATTGATAAGTTTTCTCATTGTTCGTAATCTCAACAGATTCACTTAGTATTTTCATCTTAACTAGTGATTTACACGTGCTATTGACTTCATGTTTCATTTATCGAAACGGTTCAACAATAGGATTTAACTGTCACTTTCCGACTTATGCTCACCTTTTGATTTGTTGATATGTTTTCATCGTAAACACACTATATTTAACGGTTGACCTTGACAAGACTAGCAAAATGAATTATCTAATCAATTCTTTGGTATTTCTTAAATTAGTTTACTGCAATAAAACAATTTCAGTAATCATCATATTTTGTTTTAAAGCTAAAAGAAATTCAGAAATGGGTACAGGCAATCAGCGCAGTGTGGTAGAACACAGCTTGCCGTAATTCAAGTCTGGTTAGTTCCATTTTAGTCTGCAGTAGGAACTAATGCATATCAGATTGTAACTGACTGACTGCTTCGTTTATTTGGGTGAGACTGTTAGATAATACTTATCATGGAAAAAGTGACTTTTGTTTCTAAGTTCAACAGTGCTTTATTCTTATCGTAGCCTGATACCAAGCTTCTGTTTTTAAAAGTTTCTATAAAATAGAAGATACTTTTCTTTACAAGTTAACAACCTGTAAAGAAATATAGAAAAAGAGGGGAACTAATTGGCTTCTTGGTTTTCTCTTGTTTCCTCCAAGTAACCCATGTCTCTCATCTGTCTTGTGATGATAGTGATCAAAGCCAAAACACTTCCTCTTTGTGTTTAACTGTATGAATTCGATTATTCTTCAGTTATCATTTGGCATGAAAGAGTTAATTTTATTAAGCTGTATGAAATGAATCCTTCAAAAGACATCATTCTTTTTCTGAAGACATAAGTTCATGTGGGAATGAATCTAGATGTATTTCTTCCTGCAGACACACTTTTAACTACTGAAGGTTGGACAGTAGGGATCTCCGATGAAATTGGAAATATTTTTCGACGCACTTATCAAGTTTGCAGTGTTTTCCACGAAAGTCTACATTGATTGATATACCATGCCATTTTTAAAGGCTTCGGGTTTCGTGGTTTAAGTAATCATTTTGACCTTAGTGCTTTGCAGTGTTTCCTTTCATACTCAGTAGTAGGTTCGGAGCATAAAAATACTGTTTGTTAATTACATCAAATCACAATGAATTCTGTTTAATTAGTTATAAAAAGCACCAGTGAAAAAATTATTTCACAAGTGACTAATGATCCGCTGAGGAGATAAGTTGTAGGAAGAGTTTATTTTCACTAAGAATGCCTGGAAGACAGAGGGTATTTATTGTCGTTCATTCAAAGTAAGAGGAGAAATTGGAAAAACTATATGAATGAAATCAGTTGGATTTTAAAGCGCCTTAGCTTTAAAAAGTATGTTACTCCAATAAGAGTAAATAAAAGATGAAAGGTAGGGCTAGTCAGAAGTTATTCTCCCTCTAAGTCGGTTCCTGTTTACACAACCACATGTTCATTATTATGACTGAAGGCCAATAAGTACGTCTCCGATGCTATCCAGGATTACTAAAGCCAATATACTGAAAGAAGAGAATGAAAAGCATAACTCAGACTTCTTGAACATTTTCTGAAATGCATACAACTTAGTGGAAGAAAAGTTTTTAGTAGTCAGACCTCTCACTATTTGACTGATGAAGAAAACTAGGTGGATATTTTGAGTAGTTTCATGAAGAAAATAGACACAAGGTGATCGAATATTGTAGGGTTTGCTGAAGCCTAATTTGTATGCTAAGAGGAAAACTGTTATTAGTCTCTGCCTACATCGATAACCTGTTTTCGAGCTTTTATATTCGTCCTATTGTATTATATTTATCATTATTATATATATTGTAAACTCCACTCTTAGCAACTTGGCAAATCTTTTTCAATGAATTGACTTACGCAGTATTGTTTTCTCAGTATCACGTTATTTTGTTGCCACTCCTGTGGTTTTTTTCTCAAGAATTTTCTAGTACTACATATTTATAAGCATTATACTTCGACTTGCTTACTTGACTTCATTGAATTTGTTTCAATATTCTCTTATTGCAAGTATGAACTGAACTTACTTTCGTTGGACTGGAGTGTGTTTAAATGCTTGTCATGATTTATATATAAGTACAAGGAAATAAACTGTTTCAAAGTGCCTGTGGAAACTGTCTATTCAAAAGAGCACAGTGTGTCTGCTGGTTATTATCTTGTTATCAGGGAAAGAAATTCGAATTTTTGACCAATATTTTAGGAAGAACCGAGACGTTTCATACAAATCAATGCTAACCAAAGACTCCTAATCAGCAGTGTTAATGAAAGCACAGTAACTGTCGTCAGTTGATGACTGATGCGTGTATAAAGTCGGTTTTAGTAGGACATTCTGTATAGTGAAAATAATTTGAAGCTGACTTAATTTCAATTTTATAGATTACTGACTGAATATCATTAAGAAAAAAAACTTATTAAAGCTTGTCTTATAACTGATATTTCAAAGTTCGAAAGAGACATAGAATAGGAGCCAAGCTATTATAATACTCAGTCATATGATACTCCCGAGTGGTAGATTCTTATGAGTACAGTACCAGACTGCGAAGCTGTGGTATATTAGTCTACGCAGCGGACCTACAACCAGTGGAAAACAGCTCCACCTACAGCCAGGTAGTGTCGTAAGCTTCCAAACAATAAACGGGGTTCATTGCTTACAGCGCTAAAGTGCATGTGCATTTCTATACGATTAAAGACTGTTATGGTCTCGAATGACATCTTTAATCACTCAGTAAATTATTTTTAATGTTCTAAATTGAACATCTTGTAAATCGAATTCAAACACTAAGGAAACATAATTATGACGAAATGGAGATATAGTACTGTGAAACCATAAGTGCATTCTTCACGTTTAGAAACCTAGTTTTCAACTGAACAGACAAAATAATTAGGAAAACATTTTTTATGTATTATGAGAGTGTAAATAATACTGGATTAGAGAAATTGGAAAAAAAACATCTTTTAAATAAGCGACAAAAAATATATTTATAAGCATTAATATTTCTAAAATAATAATAATATTTATGATTAGTTAACAAGAATAGCATTGCGATACACATCAACTGAATAAGCTTATAAAATTGTTAAACCACGAAAATGTAACAGGCAAAAAGAAACTAATTTTAGTTGAAGAAATAAGATTACAAGAATATGCTTATTTTCATTCTCCAATTTCGTTTCAAGGATTAGCTTAGTTCTCTCATTGTTGTTTAAAATCCTTTCGGAAAACAAAGGATAAACTGACACTATTTAAGCCAAAACAACTTCCGGTAATGTAAAATGATTAAATGCAGCAATTTATAACTAGGCAGATTTTATAAATGCAGCTTCTTAATTTTTTGGGATTGGACACTGAATAATCATTTGAACTGAGTTATTATTTCTCGGCTCAACATTTTATGTTAATTGTATGGTTAATAAATAAATAATAAAATAAATATTTTTGAATATAGCTAAAAGTTTTTACTTTTTATCAATACTTTAAAAACTGATCAGTTTTAATTTTAACATTTTTGGTTGAAAAACAATAGCTATATATGAAGTATCGAATAAATTAAATAAAACCTGGAACAAATTTTGTAAACTAAAATATTTCTAAGCTTTTCTTGAGTTAATTTTACTTTTGCCATTTGTTATAATCCTTTTACGATTGCTGACTACAAAAAGAGAGCACGGAAAAGTATATCAAGATAGGTGTTACTGAAAATATTTCATTAGAAATAATTAAAAAAAACACATCGTAATCAGCGTACCGATGATGAGAATACTGATCATACCATTACGAAAATATATTTAAAGTGTTAAATTTATACAACAGTGAAAACCATGTGAAATAATACGAGTTCCTTTCTAGTAACTTGCTCACTATTACATAAAGATTGATGCTTCCTAGAGTGATGAAGTAGTATCGTATTCGACTATGATATTCGATGACATAACTATATTTTCTTATTGGATGGCATACATGGATTACTGATGAGTACTCCAAAGCACGAAATTTAGACACCTATATTCACATTGTCTATCATCAATCATTAAAGATAGGTAAAATGGAAAAGGTACTGGCAACTCAATGATTATTGTAAAATTAATTTGTTTTTACTTCTCCTCCGAAAATTTCACACCATTTGCGGAATAAACAAGCAGTTACCTAATAATAATTATGACTTTTAGAAATAATAACAGAAACATATGTTTTTCAATATATCGGACCCAAAAACATTCATGATTCTCACTTGTCTTTTGTCTGCATCTGTTCACTCTGCAATTCAGAGACAGCAGAATCTATAGGAAAGAACTCTGAGAAAAGTAAGTGAATGTTTTTCGCTGTCGATGAATACCAATAAAGGTTGAAGAAAAATATTCATCAGGTTGAAAAAGAATATAAGGCAAAATAGGTAACTGTGTTGGTCAGTAATTTCCAAAACCAACATTTTTTTAAAATGAACAAACTTTTCACATATGCAGGCCTAAAATGATGAACTTTCAATAATTATATCTTAAAAAGCCATCAGTTTGATAGAGTTTTACTGACATTTCTATTACACACTGCAGAGTAGAAAATGTTTCTGACTAGTGTTGCCTATATTCACGTCTTTCAGCTGACATGTATGACAGTAGGAAAGTCAATTGAAACTAAAGGACTGGCTCAAACTTCAAATTCCTGAAAAGGATTCACTATGGGATTTGAAATGCATTCAAACAATATATAGCTGCTCATTTAACAAATAACACCAAATAAGGTGGTAATCGAATTACTACTTGGTTGACTCTATTTCGCGTAAAGTACTACAACTGGCAGATTTGAGTTCAACCTGTTTACTATGAACAAAAAGAAAATATACATTTTTATTATCTTTCCTCTCAGAGTTTCCAGTATTTTTATCTTAGAAAAATCAAATAGTGACCTAACTTTTAGACATTCAATGAAATCATGCCCTCGAAAAGAGTGATAAAAAGGGGCTCAAACTTTCTTGCTTCACTGTTCTTCTATTTATAAAGCGTTTTAGATAGAATTCTTTTTCGAGTCACGTTAGCAAGATGTCCAAAGTTCGCACGCAAAGAATGTTTATTCACTATATAATGAAAATTAGTTGTGATAATCCATTTCAATTAGTATTATATCACTTGAGAATTTCTGTCTCCATTACCAAACCAAACACCGGCATAAAGAAAATTAAACTCCTTGATCTAAGCTTCCTTACTTTCTGGATACGGCTCTCTGAAATTTCATAATTGGGTTACACTTCGAGATTTTCATCACGATTCTGACTAAGAAATTTATTATTTGTGCGTATTCAAAGCTCTGAAGTCGACAAAACAGAGTGAATTCCTGTTCTAAGTTACTGTCATGAATTCTTCCCTACTTATTTGCAGCAAATGAGACATGTTGAGTCTTGAAATTCAATTACAAATGTGCATATTATTTTTGTTAGAGGTCTCTAACAGTTTCGATAAATTAAAAGGCATAGATGAAATTATAATCACTTAAAACAATAAAGTATCAAATTAACTCACCTTAACCTCCAATCATTACAACCAAGTCATTGGATAAAGCTCGAGTGGCTCCTGAAAGACCTTCGCAGTTATATATTCCATCGTCTCCTGGCCTAACATTTGTAATTGTCAATGTACTTACAACTGTTGGCATAGGTGAATCACAGTTTCTTGGTACATTACTTATTCTAAAACGACCAGGTTCCTCAGGAAGGCATCCCCAGTTGAAACGCCAAATAACATATGGCACAGGATTACCAGTCACCTCACAAACAAGTACTACAGTATCACCCTGACGAACAGAATAACGTGTTGTAAGTGGCTCAGCGATCATTGGTGCAGCTGTAAAAGTAAAATGAAACATTGCATATTTCAGTGAGTTTCTATGGCTGAAGAAAGCCAAAGCTGATAAATGTCAATCATAAGCTATAAGATGACTGGAAATTCGAAGTCCAGGTTGTCGCTTATCATACTTCCATCAAAGAAGGCCGTTTGAAATGGTTGCTATTACTCAGTAGAAGTTTTGTGTAAAGAAATTTGTTTGTTACTAATCTGCAAACAAGGTACTTGGCAGAATATACCTGAAAATTTATTGTGGTTGAGTGGTTTCTTCAAGTATCAAGTTACATATGTTGGAATATGTTAAGAGAACCTTTTAAAAATATAGCTGTAAATTTCTCCTTGCAAGCTTTCTGTATGCATTTAATACTGGGTCATCTATAGAAGTCAGAATTTGTCAACCTAGTACATTATTGTTTCAATCAACTTGTTTCAGAAATACAAATATAAACTTTAGTTTTCCTTTTGCTGTTCATCATTCGTGTAAATATCACTGCACAGCTAGATTTCACAATGAGTGCTGCTTTAGTGTAGAAAACAGTGGGATTATGTGCCAATAATATTCTTTTCAATGGTTAAGATGATTTATAATCTGATGTTCACGTAGGGAAATATCAAGTGATTTTATAATATCTATACGATAAAAATATGCAATCTTGGACATGGTTTACACTTTCCAAAGTAAAATCTGAATAAATTTCCTATTCAATTTACAAAAACGGTTTCCAAGATTCAGGTCACGAAATAACTACCACACAACGAATTGCGTTGAACTGGATTAGTTACTTGGATATTTGCAGATAAATGGCTCCGCTGTTTGTGAACTGACAACTCAGTAACCAAGTAACTGACCAATTAACTAGCATTTACTTCATATGTGATTATGGATAAGTATGTCTCAATAATTACTCACGGAAATTTATCAATAAATTCATAAGAAATCGAAAGAAAAATATTAGCAGTGGTAGTAGTAGTAATACAGGTGTTGTTAACAATAATCTCACTACTAATGGTAATAATAGCAACAGGGTCAAGAGAGAATTCAAAGCATCTGCTGTGTTACCATACAAGGAAGGCACTTCAGAAGCATTACGAAGAATTCTCAATAAGCCTGGCTGGGATTAAAGTGGCATTCAAACCAACAACTCATTTAGAAACAAGCTTTGGTGGATGCAATTAAGCAAAATAATCTGGTTCACCAAATCCCTTGCAATGATTGCGAGGTCAAGTACATAGGTCAAAGCAGTCGACCAGGGTCGATTAGAATAACAGATCACAAAAACTTAGCTAAATCAAGATTAGTAGATCCTGATAAGATAAGAAATCTAGAGAAAAGCTTGGCTATAGCTCTGCACACAATTACAAAATCACACAGTAGGCTGGGATAGGGCGACAGTGTTAAAAACTAACTTAGTTGGGTGGAGGGAGAGACTGATAACCGAATCTTTGTTTATCGAATCAACACCAAATACATGCAATCGAAATGATTCTGAATCTGTGGAAAGTTCTACTACCCTTGTCATCACAGAGAAAGAGAGAAAATTGGGAATATATAAACTGTCTCAAAGTTGTGGAGTTACCTGATATGAATATGGATAATAAATTGTGTCCGAACCGTTATCCAGTAAATGCTACTGTTTCACTGTGTGATATTTCCAATAAGCAAACTAAAATGAAATTACAATCGACCATAGTGCCCAAGTTTTACTCTTATATTAGTAGACGAAATATACCTATTCAGAAGATAAAAATCAGGGGAAACGCACTTTCTGAACTCCCAACGGGCAACCATCACTCATGCTTTGCAGTCAAGAAGTGGTTGCCCAGTAAGAAATTACTTTGTAAGATATATCAAAGTTTCTCCAAAGGTATCATGCCTAGTTTAAAAATGTTTCTTGATAAGCGAAGAATTTGTTAGTAGATTTCAGTACCTCATGCAGAACATTCTACATTTATTGAAAATTCTAGAGTGACTGGAATGCGCAACATACTGCACCATTTATGTTGGCAGCCGATACACCAAGGGCAACCTAACTTCCAAAACACTAGAACATTACTGTGAAGTCTGCGGTCATCAATCTGTATGACTACTGAAGTTCCATGCAGTGTCACTGATTGTTCACTGAAATCAATTCTGGTTAGTTACAGTTCCGATGTATGACAGGATATAAGTCCTTCACTATAGTTGCTTGCATCTTGTAGATTTTTATGCATGTGTTGTTTAGGTCTGTGTTTTCAAAATCTCACACATCGAGAACTGGAACTGAAAACATGCAATGTCCTTTTCTGTTGAAATATAATTTGGCATTTTACTTAAACTTGTTCAGATTCAAAGCGTCTAAAATATTGCTTATTAGGAAACCTATGCATCTTTGAAAGTTGTGGTTAGCTTAACATCAGTGAAAGATGATACCTTGTGTGTTAAAAATTGACCAAGCTATATTAATAGCCTCAAATCTTTTCCGAAGCTTCCAAGGCTATGTGAGCTGTAAAGCTCACAGCTGCATTGGAAAAGAAGTAATTGTACTTGCAGGAATTAAAATCAGGTTTCTAAATTCATTCTCAGCTCAATTTGCTTGATGCTGTCTTTCAATCCATTCACGCAGTTATCAAATGTACTGGTAATCGAAAATGAACCTACCACAAGTAAGTTCGTCTTCACCATCACTGCAGTCACGATCCTTGTCACAAACGAAGGCCATTGGAATTTGACGGTTATCACGGGAACAGGTAAACATACGATCTTGACAACGTTCAGCTGCTCGAGCTAAGCAATTAGATTAAAAAATGGTTTACTTCATGTTGGAAAGGGTGTTTAAATAGTCAAAAGTACAGCGAAAGTCGGGTGTCAAAAAAACTAATCAAAATCTGAAACCGGTTATTAAAATGTTTATCATAGTCCAGTTGCTACTCAACCACTTTTTTATTATTCGTTATTTATCGGTACTTGGACTGTATTATCGATAAATATTGATTGTCAGCGACTGATGCTTGTTGCAAAAGAGGTTTTTGTCTTGATTGAGTGGGCTTGTGAGTGTCTCTCCAGCGTTTGAAACTGGGTGCTGGAGCCTAGTTTTATTAGGAATATCACCACTTACTGGATGCAGGCACACTCAATTGATAAGTCAAAAACAGGATTAATCGCAAGTACTGGATTCCACGAATTGCCTCCACTAGTCAACTTATATCACAGTCCAGTCGTATTTTGAAAATCAGAACTTGATTATTCTTAACTCCTCACAGTGTAAGCCAGACTTTATTCAGCTTACTACTCAGACTGATTGTGGAAACCTAAAACACATAGTCAAATAGCAAACAAAATGAACCTGTCTGTCGGTAAACGTTGAAGTGTGCATGTGTGTTACTGGATTCGGAATCCAACTATCCACATTTTCATACTTCTGTTAACTCAGAATATAGAGCTAGCATCATCCAACTCCATCGGCCAGTTATCGTCGTCATACGCAACCTGAATGGCAGTTCGAAACAGCTGTCCAGTGGAGGGTCTGATAACTCTAGGGTAAGCATCCAGTAGGGTCTTCAGTGCGCGCTTCTAGAAGTCTCATTCCAGAATGAAGCAACTGTCCAGTGCTCTCAGGTTTTCGCCGGTTTTCCAACTGATATCAGTCCATGATGAATGCTACGCTGATATTGGTATTCAATTGAACGACACCGGTTTATGGTGAAAAACACCCACGAGTTTTTGGAAAAGTACGCACCAGCCACTATATTACAAGCAAACAGTTCATCAGAATCTTGAGGCAGCAAATTGATTTAGAAACATATCTATATGTGTGCACATCAGTCCTGATCAATAAAGTGAGAATGAAGTTCAGCCAATGACCACTGGAAAATAAAGGGAATGTGTTTCACTCAGATATTCACAGCTCTGTCTTTTAAATCTGTATTTCCTCATGAATGTCAAAAAATCTACCTGCTGAATACCTCTAACAAAGTATACTGTGATAATGAGCCTCTGAGTCTTTTCTCCTGTATTGAAAACGTGATCTATAAAATGAATTTAACGTGAATATATCTATACTATCACTGATAAAGTTTATATTCTAAATAAAAGATGTAATGAGAATCATTGTTTTAGATTTCCTTTCACTAATTTCATACGACTAAGACAATTTGTTGTAGAATTCGCCAAAGCTAAGAAAATATACATAGTTTGATAGATTACTTTTGTTTTGTGACTCATAAGAAAGTGGGCATAGGGGAGGGCCAGGTTTCATTTCTTAGAATCAGAAAAATGTTTCCCGATGTCGTAATCCCCGAAAAGTTGAAATTAGTAACTCGTTAACTACATTCGAAATGAAATCTTTTAGCTTGAACAAACCCATGCATAATTTGGAGTACCACAAGTGAAATTCAGCCATAAATTATAAGTATCCACAAATAAGCTTTTTTTGTTGTAACTTGAAATGCAAATAGCAACCCATCATATGGGGTCTGAATTCATTTTATTCACACCATTGTATCTCTAGGCAGTGAATTTACTGAGTCAGAATAATAGGAAAATAATTAGATGATGCATTTATTTATTTTTTTCTTCAAGTCTTACTAACTTACGTTCAGTACAGTTGTCTTTCACACTGATTTAATAAACACTAAATAAATTGTGTAAATCATTGTGCTGCGCTGTAGACATTTTAAAAAAACTCACAAATCAGTACAACTTTCTTCCTTTAGTCTTTCTATACCAACTCTTAAGCACCTTACATCTTATTTTGTGCCTACGTGTACTAGCTATCTAACCTACCTACTAATTATCCAAATTCCAGAGAATAAAAATGTTACTCTATCCAATCTTAAAATTAATTAAGTGTGATTGTGGCCGCCATTATTAAAGTTTCAGAATAGTGTGAAGTTTATAAGCATCAAAATAGTTTGTTTGAATACTGTGCCTAGTGAGATATTACTTTTAGCACGCATTTTCAGAATACCTATCCTCTAAATTCTCGAATTTATACTACTATGGGCAATCAAGTTCTGTTGAGAAGTTCATTGACTTTTGTTGACGTCTTTTCTTTAACTTCATGATGTTTTGCTAAACACAGAGAAGCCGGTATCCTGAAGGGTTTTTGAAAATGTTCTGTGAATACCTGGAGTTAAAGTTGTTCCTTCAGAGAGTATTTGCGTCATCTGTGAGTTTTGCTGGTGATTCTACAGCTTCTTTCTAGAAGTTGCCATCTGCATAGCAAGAAATAGTGCACATTAGCTTCTGATCGAAAACTTTGTTAAAGACCAAAACTGAAGTCAATGTTTTGGCTGAAAATCCACTTCACACTTAGTATTCCAAACAGTTTTAGTGAGATAATTACGATAGATAGTGGGTAGTACTGGGATTCAGACTGTGCGTTTTGTCCTATTTGGGACTCATCAAATGTATATACCCAAATCTCATTGAGTGACAATGTCCCCACAGAAACCTGAAAACAGCATCCCGAAGCTGGGAATTCATTCATTAAGCTACTGAGTTGCGACAACTCAGATTTCGTACTTTATTTAAAAGCAAGAAATAATGTAATCATAACCGTCTGTTTAGGTCAAATATTTGTCACCTGTTAAATATTGTGGTAAAAAACTCTATGATTACAGTTTGTCTGTCAGCATTTATTCTCATGTCTTGGTTGAAAATCATGATATTACGAAAAGAAACTGTTATTGAGGTGAAATCAATTTTGTTTGCATTTAGTCAGCCGTTTACATTGAAGCTACTTGATGACACTAACAGGTAGTTCATATCAGGAAATGACTTTAAAATTTACCGGATATCGTTATTTTTATAAAAAAGATTCTTGTGGTTACGTTAAGTATAATAAATCAGGTTAGGTATATGAACCTGGATTTTCCTTCCAGTAATGAATCATGACGAAAAATTAACAAGGGATAATGCAGAGAAGAAAATTTTCGTCTTCAAGAATCATTTTCAGAAGTAGTAGAATAGTATTTATAGTCACAACAAATAATATGCATCTGCTAATGTCTAGTGTATCAAAAGAAGACCGAAAAATGTCATTTGTGATGTTTTTTGATTCTGAAACTTATCATTTAATGCTAATCAGTTTGGCGATCTGACATCGACAAAGTACAATTCATATTTTTATCTTAGGTTCCTAGTGAAATGTAGAGCTTCTGTAGCACGCCTTCATAACACTCTGTTTTATGCAGTCATTCCAACCTGGCTCCAAATCTGCCCACTAGCTTTCGTTTCTTCCTCACACGATCTCCTCCATGTCATCCTCCGCTCAAACGTCAAAATCGTCGTTTCCCCTTCGAATACCACCCGACGGCCTGGCCTGGTGCGTGATGTCCCCAGTCGTCCTTATCAGTGTATATCCAATCCATCTCCACTTTGCTCTGCATATTTGTTAGGTGATGGGTTCTTGGTTGGTTCGCTTTCAGACAGACACGCAGACAGAGTTCCTTACTGCTTATTCATATTATCCTCGCCATCTCATCGATATTCAGTATCGAGTGAGCGTAGGCGGCAGCTGTTGATGAATCTTTGTAATTTGTTGGAAATGCTTTTCGTAAAGCGCCAAGTCTCTCAACCATCACAAAAGAAGCACTGACTTACTTGACTGGATTAGTGTTGAAAATCCGGATATTGTTCACGCTTTATGCTGAGTGCAGTGCAGAGCAGTAGATCTCCACACTGATTTCAGATTAATGGAGGTCTGTCTTGCTGTCTTTCCGATCCTCGCTTTGATGTCCTCATCTGTGTCTGGGCCGCCTGTAGTTGAAACGATGCTGTCTTGCCTTGGTGGTAGGTGAAAGAGACAACTTCCTTTAGATTCCTCCCGTTGACGGTGATTGGTGCTTGTTGTTGTTGCTGTTGATGTTATTGTTGGTTGGGTATCTTTATCACCTCTGTCTTCTATACATTCATCTGAGAGAAGTCCCATCTTCGCTGTCTCCTCTGTAAACTTGTTAGTTTTCGCCTGTAGATCTTCGAGTTTGTGCGACAAGACATCAGACATAAATCATCATCATCGGCAAAATCCTAATCTTCTGGGGTCTTTTCATCGGTCAAATAGTGTATGCCCATCCTCTACTTCCTCACGGTTTGTTACATGATCCAGTTCACCACAGTGAGGTAGATCATAGGTGATAGTAGGTGGCAACCTTGTCTTACTTCTGTTCCCTGTCTTCACCTCAAAGACATCACTGAGCTATCCATCGTGGATCACTCGGCATGTAGCAGCATGTAGCATAGCGTATGGCTGTTGAATGAGGTTGGTAACGGTTTGTGGCACTAAAACTGTAGTGTTGGCGCAGCAGTTCCCAAATTACTTCTCAGTTGACGCCTCGATCGAAGGCCTTTTGAAATCGATGAAGTTGAGGTAGACAGTTGACTGGTATTCTATACTCAGTTCTATGATGATGCGTAGTGCAGCGTTGCAGTTTGATCCGCACATGATTTATTCTTCCTGAGGCTAGCTAGCCAGCCTATTTCGGTCGTAATTTTGAATCCTGCGCATCTTTCAGTCTCTCTAGGATGATGTGGCCTAATATTCTGCTTGCGGTGGACAGGAGTGGAGCATGATTTCACCCCAGTTCTTGCAATGGTAATAGATGATAATTGAATGTGAAATGAAAATCTGGGTCTTGATGGGAATTTCATCATCCACTATCAGTTTATTGCTTAGTTAAAGATTCTGTATAACTTACCGAAAAATGTACGTCGTCAGTCCATTAAAATACTCTCATTTACACTGTCTGTAATCTTTAATCGACATTATAATCTGATTCGTCATAGTCAGTATCTAAATGGGAGAAACTTTATAGGCGTTATTCTTTAAAGAAGTGACTTTCGTGAATTTTCAGAGTATCATAAACGTATCTCTCCCCGTTGCGTTGTGTTATCTGTTCCAAATGGTTTAATCTTGGAGCCTTAATTGTCTTTCCAGACATCATAGGCACTAACTACATTATGACTTCATACTGCAGTTAGCGCTGATGATGCTGCCTAGAAAGACAATGAAAGCTTCCCAATTAAACAATCCAGATCAAACAGCACAATGCATCCAAGATAATCCGTCTGAGTAACAAGTATTCCCCACCATATCAAAATCACACAAGCCTAACACTCTTCAGGTTGTTCAAAGCTGGAAGGACTTATCTTTTTCTTCTTCATTCGGTCCTTAAAATGTAGCTGTGCTATAAACCATAAGTTCAGTAGGCAACTTTTTGTCTTTGTGCCTTCAGTGTAATGAACAGTATTAATTACTTCTCGAAAAAAAGCAATTTTGAAAATAGACATTTTATTTAGAATATTCTTATCACTATTATTATCGTTATTATTAGTATTGGAGTGTTTTAATACGTCACCTTCTGCTTTTGGTTAGCAGTACGCTGTGTATGTGATATCTGATCTCCTGTTGTAAAAAGATTGCTGTCAAGTGTACGTAAGAAATAAGTAAACACTTAGTCAAATGATTCTAAAAAGTTGTTTGAATCACATTTATTACTTTTCGTTTTCCTCCAGATACGACTGAACAGATATATCAAAACTGTCAATATCATTATCATGGCAGAGTAATAAATCTGGAATGAAACTGTTGGAAAGTCTTAGCTACTGACGTTTATCAGTTTTGAAATGACTTAGTAAAACGATATCTTCAGACTAAACTGGTTGCCAACAAAAGTTTCTTCAGGCAAAACATCGACTCACTCACCTTCACAGTTCGCTTCGTCGAATCCATTTCCGCAATCACTTTCACCATCACAGGTCCAGTGTACCATAAAGGTTGCTTTCATTGGTTCTCTTCCTTGATAAAATTCACATTTTCTTGAAATGGGATCACATACATCTGTTGATCGATATTTTTGAAAACAAAGTATGAAAAACATTTTATAGGAAAGGTTAATAGAGATGAGGTGCAACAACAAGGAGAGATAGTGTACTGTATAAATAAGTAGCTATTTTAAACAAATTACAACTTACAGGATAGTTACCCACAAATATTGATTTAGAATCTATTTAGTCACCTCTTGCTTGTCCGCTTTCACTGACATCACCATCAATTTTCTAACTGAGGTACTTATGAACTAAAATATCTTGTTGTAAAACAGTTTGGCAGAATAACATCCTGTGCTAATGATGACATTCGTTTTGCATTATATTATCTGTCATCACGTATTTGTCATTATTATTGTCAATATGACTAGTGAACGTCAGCAGATAAGTTAACGATACTGAAAACTGTTGTCTAACAATCTCATAGACTTTTGTGTACTAGTTTGTCTGCTACATAAACCGTTGAAAGTCTTAATGACATGGCATTAATTTCTGATGAATACAAAGGTCAAGTACACTTAAATTTTTAGTTCAGTCACGGATCAAACCTGGAATACTAACTTATATCCTGCATTAGTACTGAATGCATATCAGGCTGTTAAAATCAAGTTTCATTTTGTTTAGTGACAATATGTGACTGGCTGGTAGTTTATTATAAACTTCAAGACTCTTTACAAACACACGTAATCTCTTGAATTCGTTATTTAAATAAATATTTGAAAAGGTATACATTTAGGTGGACAAATACTTGCCTAATATTTGCGTTAACTGGTGATTGATGATAACTTACAATGTATAACATCTAAAATTTTCTAGGGTTAAAGAATAGAATAACCTCGCCTAGTTAACCTAGTTCACTAGTTACCAGCCAATCGTAAGGCCGGATAAAGAGGGAAAGTTGGGAATAGGGGCAGCAACCCTACCTCGTAAAACCAATCCAATCGCTAAACAAACTTCAAAGCACAAAGAAAATATAAAAAATAAAAATAAACTTATCCCCTTCTGGAATCGGAGAGATGAAATGACGCCGGTGGGTGAAAGCCTTCGCGGAGCTAACTAGCCGATGTGACACCTCTCGGTGAAAGCAAACGTATAAACATCAGGAAGAATAAATCATGTGCGGATCAAACTGCAACGCTGCACTACGCATCATCATAGAACTGAGTATAGAATACCAGTCAACTGTCTACCTCAACTTCATCGATCTCAAAAAGGCCTTCGATCGAGGCGTCAACTGAGAAGTAATTTGGAAACCGCTGCGCCAACACTACAGTTTTAGTGCCACAAACCGTTACCAACCTCATTCAACAGCCATACACTATGCTATATGCTGCTACATGCCGAGTGATCCACGATGGATAGCTCAGTGATGTCTTTGAGGTGAAGACAGGGAACAGAAGTAAGACAAGGTTGCCACCTACTATCACCTATGATCTACCTCACTGTGGTGAACTGGATCATGTAACAAACTGTGAGGAAGGAGAGGATGGGCATGCACTATTTGACCGATGAAAAGACCCCAGAAGATTAGGATTTTGCCGATGATGATGATTTATGTCTGATGTCTTGTCGCACAAACTCGAAGATCTACAGGCGAAAACTAACAAGTTTACAGAGGAGACAGCGAAGATGGGACTTCTCTCAGATGAATGTATAGGAGACAGAGGTGATAAAGATACCCAACCAACAATAACATCGACAGCAACAACAACAAGCACCAATCACCGTCAACGGGAGAAATCTAAAGGAAGTTGTCTCTTTCACCTACCACCAAGGCAAGACAGCATCGTTTCAACTACAGGCGGCCCAGACACAGATGAGGACATCGAAGCGAGGATCGGAAAGACAGCAAGACAGACCTCCATTAATCTGAAATCAGTGTGGAGATCTACTGCTCTGCACTGCACTGCACTGCACTCAGCATAAAGCGTGAACAATATCCGGATTTTCAACACTAATCCAGTCAAGTAAGTCAGTGCTTCTTTGTGATGGTTGAGAGACTTGGCGCTTTACGAAAAGCATTTCCAACAAATTACAAAGATTCATCAACAGCTGCCGCCTACGCTCACTCGATACTGAATATCGATGAGATGGCGAGGATAATATGAATAAGCAGTAAGGAACTCTGTCTGCGTGTCTGTCTGAAAGCGAACCAACCAAGAACCCATCACCTAACAAATATGCAGAGCAAAGTGGAGATGGATTGGACATTCACTGATAAGGACGACTGGGGACATCACGCAGCAGGCCAGGCCGTCGAGTGGTATTCGAAGGGGAAACGACGATTTTGACGTTTGAGCGCAGGATGACATGGAGGAGATCGTGTGAGGAAGAAACGGAAGGTAGTGGGCAGACGTGGACAAATAATAATAATTCAAATGATTAGAAAATATTGATTAGAATAGTTGTGATCGGCTGCATAATCCTTAGTTCTGTGACAGTATCCTATAAATGAATGAGCTATTATCATGGAGCTTTTTGATTCTATGAATTCTGAAAACTTCAGTATATTATTACAGTGATTCCATAAACGGTTTAAGCAATGCAGTTATGCAGTTTCATAGTCCTGTGGTTGCTATTGATTAATTTGTTCGAAGTTATCTGCTTTATTGCTTAGTAAATTATTTATGAAAGTATGCGTGTCTTTTGAAATGACTTCAAATATATTAGAACTTCGGTGAAATGGAATGGATAATTTTTAATGGTAAACGTTTCTGCAGTAAGGCGGAATTTAGTGAAATTCAGCCTCATGCTTGCATCCAAAATAACAATTCATACAATGAAATTTTTGAATGGGTCTGAATTTCATAAACATTTAGAAGCCTCACTGACTTTTGTTTTGAAAGGTGCAAGAAATACAAATTTACCATCTTGGAATTCTTGAACTCGACTTTCAAGCTGAAAAGGCGGTTAGATCAGTAAAAAAAGTCAAGTATTCCTCGTTCTCTGCATTGTCATAACAAACAGACTGAATCCGCATTCTCCTAATGTCCACGTTGGTTATTTTTTAGATGACATAAGTGTTGACTTAAAATTTACTCCTTCCATTCTCTGAGTATCTAGACCTGAAAGCAAAAGCATAGTTATGGAAATTAACAAACGGATATTCGCAAAATTTGTATTTCACTTAAGAAACAACTCAATGCAACTGTGAATGACAACTCACTACAAAGTTTAGGGTCTTCATCTGAACCGTCATCACAATCTCTTACACCATCACAAAATCTTCCAGATGGTAAACACTGTCCTGAACGACAACGACGAGAACCTTCTGGACATATGTCTTCAACAGCAATCACAGCTACTGCTGGATTGCTTGGTTCCTGTTAAATAAAAAGAGTAACGCCATTATGACTTTAAAATTCGTAATGTTAATGACTATTACTTACATATAATCAAACTTATATCACATGACAGTTTTCGTCCAAAATCAAGGCTAGTCACAGAATCATTAAACATCAATTGCAAAAGTTTTGAGAGTCTTGGAGCATTAAACAATTACTTCCTCCTTTGTGACTCCTCGAAATACACTCTAGCAAATAAATGCTATTCTAGCCCATTATCTTCACGCTTCGCAAAGAGCACAGCTTTTCAAAATTACACTTCAGATTACATGGGTTAACAGAAGTTGGAATTGTGGAGCATTGGATTCTGACCCAGTGGCTCAATGGCAACGCGCTGGCGGCGGAACCTGGAGGTCGCGGGTTCGATCTTTGGTGGGGTCGTGGGTGCGCACTGCTGAGGAGTCCCATACTAGGACGAAACAGCTGCCCAGTGCTCCCAGGTTTCCCTTGTCCCCATAACTGATGTCAGTCTACGATGAATAACAACTTGAAATTTTAATTATCATTTTGGAGTCCTATGGCTCATGCTTTCAAACGTTTGTACACTACTATCCAATATCTTCAGTGAGCTTCTGTCTACACATGTCACTGTAGTAAGTACTCAGATCATAGAATCTTGTTGGAACAATGATAGTTTCAAATGGCACCTTTGATGATTAGAGCTTATTTCAACAACATATTCACACAGCAGCATTACAACTCTGTAAACACCACCAAAAGACCGCTCCTATTTGGTCTCATCGTCATGATGTCTAGAGTTAGAATACCATTCCTCTTCATCCAGCTGCTAAATTGCGGGAACCTGCTTGCAAAGTATTGTACATTAAGCAGGATAAGTAACCACCAGACAGAATATAAGTGTTTCAATTTTGAAATATGAAACTATGACCAAGTTCTTACTCCAGATTTTCCACCAAAATGTCTGTTTCTTCAGATAGGGATAACCTGTGAGTAGTGTAAAACTGCTTAGACATTTCGAGACATTTTTCGTCACCGTATGGTGTTAGAAAATGTTTTTAAGCTAATGGGTACTAGATCTCTAATTTTTATCTAACTCAAGGGAATCACCCATCTTTTATTTACTTTGCACGCGGTAATTTCGCAAATATTAATGTTACTCCGTATGTTTATTGCTGTAACAAGTTTATATTGACGATAACAGTGTGATGAGAGAAATTCAATTTCAAAAGTGTAATTCCATGATACGGATGTGATCTCAAACCAACTATTTTCATTTTTCTCCCTGATTAATTAAAGCGTACTAGGAAGAATTATCTGGTTGGTTCAGGCATTACTTAAGGAATAGAAAAGTTTTACCATTAGTGTAACACCGGTCGCCTTCGTTTAGTAAGATCTATAAAATGCTACCTTGTAGATAGTTTTCGTCCAGCAGATAAAAATACTAAAAGCCAGCTATCAATGAACAAATGTCATTTTCCAGATGTAATTCCTAAGACTCTGGTCACCGTATATTCTATGTGAGAGTAAGATCTTGAGGTTCATTTCTAAAGGCACCACTTTTCGATATCATTCTTTGAACTCAAGTTGTTTGAGATACTGAGTAATGGTGGATTATGGCTATGGATGGCTATCTTCATTTTCTACTCAGTCTATAAAATATGTCTAGGTACATCCCGGAAACACTTGTAAATTCTTGGTGAAGTAGGAAATAGCAGATTTTGAACTTTTGTGACTTTACAAACACCACTGGAACTCCCATTTTTTAAATTAGCACCCTTTCTCATTTCGTTGTTCACTTTTCAAACTCATTTAATACACTCATATAAAAGTTGTAAACTCAAGTAAGCAATAAAACTTGTTCACCGACACATTACTACCTTTATTTAGAACTCTGTTTTACATCTGAAACGAAGTGATAATGATGAGATTTGTTTCTTAATTCTTAGAGGAAAATATTTTATTTTTGGTTGCAATGAAGATATAATAAACAGAAAATCAAGTTGAAAAGAAGTCTCACAGACTGTGTTCAACCTTCTTTATACAACACATCTTATTTAGGAGACTAAAAGGATATTTGAAACTCTTTACCATAAAATCTTTCCAACATAAATATCAACTTTATTCAGAATTCTGAAACTACTCGGTTCTTAAATTCCATATCGCTTTAGGTTAGATATGTCTACTTTTGCCGAGTAAATATCTCTTTTACAAAATCTGGGGTTCATTTGGTGTGGCAATATAATGTTTGCTCAAACCGTGCTTGTTGTAGAAATAATTTAACACAGTTCTTACTGAAGTAGAGTCAAATAAAATGAAACTGTTGACAATATCAGATGTTATGGAAATTTCCAATATTCAGTCTTTGGATAAAAGTATTAATTCACAACTTTTAGATTGATTAACATTACTGAAAGACTTAGGAGGTGCGAAAGTGCGTTCCAGTAACCGGCATAAACAACCAAAGTAAAACTTACGTCTGAAAGGCATTCAACAACCGTTCCATTTTGGTCAGATCCTAAGCCTCTTTGAAGAACGAATCTGACACGGTTTTCACTGACGCGAACAGTTTCATAGTAGATTCTAGAGTCTCTGACTTGGAAACGTGGTGTGAACGGTGCTGGCTGCCCATCAGCAGTTGCAGCAAAACACTCGAATTCTATAGGTTGGTATGGACGAACGGTAAGCCTCTGCGGAGTTATCGACAAAATGTAAGTCCTGGTTGCTCCTACATGAATAAAAATTATATTGGTGTAGTTTAACGTTAACAATTTTATGACGCATTATAATTTAGTAAACACGTTGAAATCTATGGAGAGAACTCACTGGTTCAAATAAAAGGGACTTTGGGAAATCCCAGTTCGACTTCTCGAAAAATAGTAGCAGTTTATGAAATAAGCGCATAGTTAATTACACTTCAGATTGCGTTGAGGTTAAACCTGAAACCTTTGAATTACGCTCCGTTTTTTAAGTACTTCAATTAGATTTTCTCACCACAAATTAAGAAACTTTTGGAATTCAGTCTTGAACTTGAGCTTGTTTTCTCAAGAGAAAACGGAGTCTGGAGGTTTTTGTTTTACATGAATGTTTCTTTGACGATTTTTCCCTGTCCTTATAGCTAGTGTACCAACTAAGACCCTCAGTGCAGAGTCATATTGGTGTGGTATCGGTGCGTTGTAACATGTGACATATTTGTGATGATTATTTGCTGCAACCATCATCTAAGTAGTATAACCAATGCTAAAGTAACAGTTTCAACCCTGTATTAACAAAGATTGGCTATCATGACTGATTTAGTGAACGATAAGAACGAAAATCTATATTCTTCGAACGATCCTATTGTTTACTTTGATATGAGACTGTTTGGTGTGGTTTTATAACTCAGGTAGAACATTTTTGTGCTGGTTTGTATATTTACTCATTTTATGAATTCTCGAATGCAACAAAATATTTGTAAAATTTCACTGCTGGGAAGTCAGTGGTGTTGACGATGTTCCACCTATGCTAGCTTTTTATACCGTGGACACAACAAAAGCAGTCTCGTTTTTGAGCTGTTAGTGCTCTTAGTGTCAGTCTTTCAGTGCATAGAAATACAGCTTAACAGTTGAAAAGGTGCCTAATTTTAGTTCTTATTTTTAATCTTTGCTTTCCATTTTATAGCTAGACTTCAACAGCGAAGAGTTTTAGCATATGAGTGAGTCATAATGGAGTAACTATTAAAGCAAACAATTGGCTGTAGAAATTTTGACTCTCGTTTGTAGGTAGAAAATTCATGAAAATTGGGTGGCTTTACCAGACATTCAACACAGCCTGACCTTGACGTGTCTGTACAAGGTGGTATTCTACGAAACTTGACAGCCATATTAGTTTGGCAATCATTTGTCCGTTCTACAGCATTCTGATTGTTTTTTTCTTGCTCATTCGCGATAGACAATTACTTCAGAAGTGTATAACTTACTCACACATTCCTGTCAAATATACTTTGCCTAAAAGCTTTCCCATCTTGTTTCGCAGTATGATGGTCACAGTTAGCTTTTAAGGAGGTTTACCTAATAGCCAAACGTGGTATACCACTGAAACTTTCAATTAGAAAAGCAGTCTAATATATCATACTTCTGCCATTTTACAACATGGATGAGCCATCATGGCTTCAGAACACTTCAGTAGTATGAATGTCTTTTAGAGCCACTCGTGAAAAAAAAGCACTCAGTAATTCTTCTACGGAAGTATACTTGTTTTTTATACACCATCAACTGATTATAGCTTCGTACAATTTGATATTCAGTAGGTTTTTGTTTTACAGAAGATGACTTCGCAACAACTTTACTAAATTCCACATCAGGCAAATATATAGCCGTAAAAGTTTATTTACCAAATGATGATAACCTTATTTGCTAGTATTTTAGTTAATACACACAAGTCATAAAGGACACGGAGAAATAATATTTGATTAGATTACTGGTTGATATTGTGCTTGCACACAATTCAGGTTTGCTTTCATCTATCAGCTGTTTATATTCGGCAGAAGTAAATGCGGACAAAGGTACGAATAATCATATATACCCACTTTCACAGATAAGATGCGTAAATACATGGGGTGGAAAACGACTTTGGTAAACAAGTTTCTAATCTGTAGGATGTAAACTGAACACAGTATATATATATATATATATATATATATATATATATATATATATATATTCAAAGAGCTAAAGAGTGTGCAAAGTTTGACTAACTTTATGTCATGCGTATGACAGTTTATCTGATTTGTTTGGGGGCAAACAGATATTTACTCCAGTTTGGTATAAATGTTTTTTGTAGGTTAAACCTCATATACATATAAATATATATTCGTAAAGTTGTTCCGTATTTTATTTGTATACGATATACTCTATCGATAAAATAATTAGTCAGAAATCAGGTTAATCGCTTAAAAACTTATGACTGAGTTTTGGCATTGAACAAATGATAGAGAAATTTACCTAGATGGCATTATAAAAGATAAACTTGTAACCTACTAACAAAAAGTTTCCCAATAACTTCTTCTTCTTGGGCTGGTAAACGACAGATGTATTCCCCTTGATCAGACACACGTGCTCTTGCTTTACTAATGAAACTGGTGTGTTGAGCGAATTGATCATCATGACGAAGAAAACCATCTGGTTGATTAAGATCAAGACGTACTCTTGTAGGACTCTGAAATGGTTTATAATACCATTCCAGTTGACGGTTTATATCACCATCCAACCCATGTACACGACAGTGAAATTCGACTGCTGCACCTTCGTCCACTGTATCCGATTTAGGATTAATTTCTAATCCTTCCTCAGCTATTCAGATGGAAAAGAAAAGGACACTTTAGTAACTTTCAGGTTAAAAAAGTTCAAAATACACTTCACTTTTCTGTTTGTCCCACTCTGGAATAGTCAATGCGAAAAGAAATCAGCCCCAGGAAATTACTTATATTTAAGTATCTTTGCACCACTTCTTAGTTAACCTAAAACTTTGTTTGATGCAATTCATACTGAATTATTAAGAAAACTGTGAAACAGCAGAGCTCAGAACTTCGGACAATCTTGACCGTCACATTTAAATAGTAACATAAGTTATTGTACCTAAGATCTTTAATTGTTCATCTAACTTTTTGAGACTTAAACAAGTGTAGTACAATATTAAGTAAGCAAAGATTTATTTACATGTGTAATTATGTTGTTTCTCTTATTTTTATTTGTGAATTGTATTGTTTTGTTATTATCGTTTTAGTTTTGTTTTTCATATTCGCTCATACAGCTTCCTATCACTGTTCTGATATGTCTGTATTACTTTAATGGTTAGATGGTTGATTTTAAGAAGCTGTCCCTAAGTAGAACATCAAACTTAACTTTCCCGAAACCAAATATCCATCCTAAATTTGCCAGCTATAATGTTTCGAAAATTAACAGCTTTTACTATGATATGGTAAGAGCCAGCTTTTGCTGCGTGCTGTATCTCAAAACGTGCATGCAACACCCTACTAAAGTGATTTCAGTCAGTTGTTCTGCAATCCATTTAAGTTTGTTTCGTATACACTTCTCTTAAGACACCCTACCATGGGTGTTCGGTCTTGCTGAGGTCAGTCTGAAGTGAAATGGAGGAGACAAGACGTCATTGTCCAGTCGCTTTGATCTATTAAGTGGCAATTTAAATTGGCCTACAATGTGATTACATCATCTACATCTCATGGTTTGTACATTTTCTGTTCAGTTATCATGATAATCATTGTCGACTGAAACGAAACGCTAATATTTCCGCTGAATTTGTTTGCCCGTCAAACATTACTATTAAGGTGGTATTTATGCACACTGGCATGGTCAACATGATCTAAACAACCAATTAGTGAAAGGTATCTACATTGTATTGTTTCAAAACAGTACACGCAGTCAGAAATATTCCATCTGGTGGTGACATGGAGGTATAATAGTCTTTTGCATCTGTCTGAAACTCATAGCCTACTTCTGACCACTGCTTACTTCAGATAAAGTTATCACCAGTGTAGTAACTGGCGTCTGACCTTAATCTTTCAAACCGGAACTCTTATAAACTATGCTGCAGTGGTACACCAATAGATCAAAACTGTTGTTTATTTTGAACTGTGTCGGGACTTTAAATGCTCCCTAGTGTATACAAAGATCACATGACGTTTTTATGACTAACAAAATCACCTTAGATAAATACAGTTGCATCTAGAATGGCGATTAAATATCAAGCAAAAGTGAGTTTAAACGTAGTCACTAATTTTGGAGAATGTGTAAATGAGGATTGTTTTCACTTAGAATACAATGTGAAAATCTCTTACAAGCTACTTTTGTCTTGAAAAACATGCTATTTATAAACACTGGATATGTTCCGTCAATAACTGGTACCCATTAGTTCATTTTAGCGGATGACTTAGCCAGTTGTTTGTAGAGGTTTCCCCTACAAACGATTAAAAAAGCGCTTGCGCAAGGACGGATGCGCTTGATATTCAGTGTACTAGTTTGATGGGAGTAGTGGATGCATTCGCCAGTAACTAAGACCTTTTCCAACTTAAGAGAACCACTATCAGTAAGAAAACTGGTTCTGATGAGATGGTGTATAAACTGCATGTCGCATCATAACTGTGAGGAAAGCCATTTTTATAAAAACTACCTGGTATAGTATCCCAAAAGTTTTGACATAAAAATTCTTTTCATGATCAGCAGACAGGTAATCATTTGCACTGGCGGTTAGTGTAAAGTTTTCAATAATGAAATGCAGTGAGGCAACCAGCCGAAACAAAACACCGCTAACTATATTTAAGATGAAGGTAAGTCTACTGGAATAGGTTATTTTGGAATTTATGATAGACAAGTGGTATTCTAGTAATGTGGAATTAGACTGTGAGTATAACTATCGCTTATGAAGACATTCTCAGCAGTGTGTACATAAATTGTCAAAACATTATTCTGTTACCGATTCTAATCCATCTGTTGGACGCTATCACACTTTTCAAAAGCTTTGGAAAGTTGATTCATGAATAGAAAAGATGCTCTCCAAGTGATCGAGCTTCTGAAATCGTCACACGTATTTGTGACAAAAATAAGATTTTATTTACACTACATATAAATAATGGTAACGACAAATTTCAGCATACAATGTTTTACCTCTGACAACCAGATGAGTTTGTTTAACATCACGACCAATTCTGCATTCATAGGTTCCAGCATGATCATTTTCAATATTTTTAATGGTCACAATGCTGACTCGTAAACGATCCATTCGGAAAATCTTTCCACTTGCGTTTATAGTCGGGTGGTTTTCTAGCAGCTGATTTTCGAAATACCACCTGACGTCTTTTGGATTGGCCACGGGGAATTCACAGTGCAGTTCACGTGTTTCTCCAGGCAAGGATACCATAACCGAACCAGGTGGAGAACTCATTTCTACAAGTGTAAAATTGCGGAAAGCAAAACTTCGCAATACATTTCATTCCGTTATTATTTATCTTAACGATTATTGTAATATTTTTAATCACTGGTCATAACTTTTAGATGCTTTGGTAGAACTTAAGACGTCAATAATAGGTTAACTGGGGGTTAAAGTTTCGGAATGCAACTCTCTGAGAAGAAACTTTGAAAACTTTCTACACTTTTTGTTAGTTAACATTAATCCTGCGATAAACTCTGAAAATAAATGCGGTTAATATGATAACTTTGACATCATGTGAGTGCGAAATATTGATCTTACTGATCTGGGTGTTTTGCTTGACAATAAAAAAGACTGCATCATGTACTATTATACCATTCGTATCTTTGCAAGTACAGATTTTGCTGGTACTCTGGACTAAACGATCAGTAATACTCACTGTATGTGAACGAGCACATTGTAACAAAGTAATACAAGTAGTTCAGGGACTTTATTTGGATGAGCAGTATGTGAAACATGCATTATTTAAAGCAACATTTGACTAGCCTATATGACGTCTATACAAAGTAGAAGCTTGGATTTGTAGAAAACAAACACCTTAATTGGTACACGTTTTTACCTCAGAATTCCACCTTTTTGAATAAAAACTAAGAGTGAATATCTATTGCATTCCTAAAACTTTGTGAGATTTTAACTTAAACGGTTAATTATTTCATCTGAGTACATCATTTCAAGACAACTGGAAGCATTTTTCAATTCGTCTCAAAATTAGTATTTGATAACATACATACATCTATGAATTTACATTTCGTGAGAAACTTACCAATCTTCGTCTCTCGTGTTAGTGCCAAGCTGAGTTCTACCGTAGCATTAGCATCTATACTTCCAGTACGTGAATATCTAGGTGTCCATTCTGCTCGGCAAATATATGTACCAATATCTCGATATGATAATGAAGTCATGCGTATCAGAGCTTCACGGTGAATAACTTTCCCATTATGATACCACGAAAAACTTATTGGCTCCTCTGGTGGTGGCTCGACTTCACAAACCATTTCATATGGTCTACCAATAATAACTTCTCCAGTAATTGGTCGAATATTCACTATGTGCTGCATGGCTTCATTAGGTAAGTAATAACATTAAGAAGTTAATGAGGCGCCTTATATTAAAATTGGTCTATAATAAATTTAAAAAAAGGGATTAACATAAAATGTGAAACATTTTTTCATTGGTCCAATATTATAATTTAGTAGGGAATTTTCAAATAGTTAATATCTTAATCTTAGATTAGCTGAAATATCAATTTTCTTTGCAGTAGAGACCACAAAGTCAGAAATTAGTTCATAGGAAGCTGACGAAATTTATCTCTAAGCGAGATAGGCAGTTAGCATCGATGATACCAGTGGAAGGACACACAGTTAAAAAGTTAGCATTATATACAAACCTATGACGGTGAATTTTTATAATCTCATTTCAACTCAACTGCTGTTTGTAGTCTGTGGTTATGTCCTAATTATTCAACGCTATACTAATCACGAGATACAATGTGAATTGGACGTGGAGGATTACAGCAGGATATGGATTCTGAAACGCAGCATTATGAACCGAAGACATATGGCAGTCTATAATTTGAAAGGTGTCTCATTATCATGCAACGGGTTATTTAGCAGTTAAGGCAATTAAACGACTGCAGTTTTGCATCTATTAAACGTAGGCCAGGCTTATTTTTGGAGTGATGAAAATATTAGTTCAGTAAGCTTTTTACGTCCCAATAAAGTCAATACACTGAAAAATATTCAACAATGTCAGATATAAGTTTATTTTGAGAATAATGGACACACAAAACCTTAAGAGCTGAATGGTTGTGTCCTATTTGTGACACTGGGCTGTTTGAGCCATTTGTTAGCCAGGTCTGGTTGTTAGTGACTAAATATTCTTATCGATTCATGATTTATCCCTATTATCATTGCATACCTGAACTAATTTAGTTCTTTACTAACAGACTAACAGTAGTATGACTGTGCACAGAAGTAAGCAGCTATTTTTGATGTGTCAGTTGTTTACAAGAAACACCAATTGACAAATCATTATTTTGATTAATTGGTAGCATGAAAATGCTCGCCACTGCGTCAGTAAAGAAAGCGCTAACTTCATTTTCCTAGTGTATTTAAAGTAGGGATAATAAATGAGCTGATGTATAAGACTCTTTAAAGAATTTATTTGAGCTCGAAAGCAACAATGGATAACTAAAATATTTTTGACCCATTTTGTTCGCTATAATCGTTTCAAACCTAAAATGTAACTTTATTCTACCAAAGTACTCATTATCTAATCATACATGTAGTTTGACGTATGAAAAATCTAGTGAACAACGAACAGAAATGAAGTCAACTGGTGGAAAATCGATTAACCTAGCAAATGTCGTCTCGAGGAAGAATCTGTTTTCAGAGTAAATAGGCACTGGGTAATTTCATAAGACTTCCATGAAAGAAAACGGAAATATATTTATGTTACATAAATTAAGGGTCAATAAAGATTTATGAATTGAGAGAATTAAAGAAATAAATCATATTTCTAAAAATTTGCAAGTTTATTTACTCCATATTGTCCACTCTTGATTAAATTATCCCAGACTATTCACTGTCGACTGAGCAGAGATGTTTTTTTCGAAGATAGTTATTGCCCATTCATTGTGACTAACTTTTGAAAGGTGTGAATATATACTAGAATCTAGTAAGATCGATAAAAATGCTTTTTGGTTTCCAAGTTATCGAAATGGACACACTTGTGATCAATTTTATCAAACCTTTCACTTAGCCATTTTACTAAAAGATGATATTCGATTCTTCACATAAACAAGTAAACGAAAAAATTTCAAGCAATCTTAAAATGGTCTCACTATCGACAAAAATATTAGTAATCAAGATTCAAAAGCAGAAACTCAGCTTTTGGTTGCGTTGTTTAGTAGCCTAAATCTTAGTTGAGTTTACATTTTTGTTGTACTCACTTTGAAATAAATTGTTTGGCTGCATAGCTGACATACGAAAGGAACGAATTGGATATTTAAAGGAAATAAATAACCAGTATCACCGAGACAGTGTTACTCGGCTACTTTTAGTCTACACAGTTGCGAACTCCAATTCACATTATGCATATTTCTTGCTCCCACTAGTGTACCGTTGTTCAAGAGCAGAAATGATGAAATTGTGGTGTTAAATACTTTTTAAGGAATTACATGATGAGTCAGCAGTAATCTAACATGATGAATCTTCTCCAACCAAAATGCTACTTTTTTTTACTGTAGTGCTTGTTTTTTTCGAAAAATTCATCCATGCTAAGGAACAAGATAAAGCGAAATGTAGGGTGTGAAAGAAAACAATTCCCAGGAAATTAATTGGCGTCAGACTTGAATCATAAGCATAACAGGGACTCAGCCAATAATAAATATTGTTGCAGTTACCGGATGGTTTCCTCGAATAGTAACGAAATGCATAACGAAAATAAAAGCCTTAGAAACAGAGGTAGGCAGAAATATAATACTTAGTACACTTGATGAATATAAATGACTAATGATCATCAGGCAAATTTAATTGTGGCAGTGACCTAGATTCAAGGATTACTGTTGAGTAGTCGATAGCAGTCAGGAAAACTAACATGTGTTTCTTACTTTTGAAAACCATAGAGCGTTTAAGTTTTTATACATTCCCATTTTTACCACTTTAAAGGAATAAACATTATGTTGAAATTGTTTGTCTAGATTGTTTGTTTAACAATCTCATTTGTACATTAGTTGAGTTAGTGGTTGCAGTGAATTTGGGTTCAGGTTAATCAGATAGGCAAAAAAACACTACTTCGAAAACTTTTTAAAGTTTCAACTGCTAACTAATGCATCGAATGTTAAACAGTTTGAATATCCCTTGCTTTCTTAGTCATGAACATATCCCAGCATATCGAAAAACTAGGTGCTAGCTGGATAAGTCAAGGAAAGTATAAATTATGAAGGCAGTGAATACCACAAAACTGAACAACTAAAAATGGTATAAGTATTCAAATAGTTCACGAATCCTGATAAAAACTAACAGTAGGCAGAAGAGTTAAAGATTATCAAGTTTGAGAATCTTCAGAAGGAGAATTATGTTAGGAACAGTGGCTCAAAGTTGTATTAAAAATAAAATGGCTGAAGAGAAAATAACTTGTGTACCCCTGGTAGTAAGATAGAGTGAATGTTTTATTCTAAACACTCATCATTTACATCCCCATATAACTTGGATTCCTTTCTGCTGTCGATTAGCAGTTCTTTAAAAACTAGCCGCGTATCATGCTTACAAGTTGTTAAGCCTTTCCTTTACCAAATAAATATGCTTTTTTCAGTTTGGTGCACCCCAAAAAGAAAAATGTTGAACGAGTTCTCGTATAACCCCTGTTTTGTGGTGAACCTTGTTTTGATGTTTGTACATGATGAAAATCATATGGTGACTCAGACATGCTATTTTAGTGAAATGTTTGTTTGTCATGTTTTCACTGCTTCTATGGCATAAAAGTGCCAAAAAATAGTTCGAATAGAATGCAACTTGAAAGTTACATAATGTTAAATTCTTTTCTCTTCAATATGGAATACCAGTGGTAGAAGACAGTCACAACCTTTGGTTACCCTATATTTCAAATAGAAACTAAGTTCACTCAGTGATGTGAGTCCTGAGTAGAATCACGCTCGAATTTCATTAGTGGTAGAATACGTCTACGAATAACAACTTTACTGGTTTCGAGTCCTCTCATGACTACCAGTATGATGGTGTCGTTTCCATTGTTACTTAAACATTTATTTTAATGAACTGGTTTAACGAGTCGACTGACTATTTTGTTTGAGAGAGTTTTCAATACTGTATGATGATCAGATGAAAATCTTTGCATAATCTTTCTTGGACATTTGTCGATGAATTTTTATATATACAAAGTGTTTATTTTTTGATTATCTATCTTGTCGAAAATTAACGATTTCAGTAGTAAATAATTTAGTTAACTCCAGAAGTTGAGCAGATGAATATTAACCATAATGCTTTTCAAATGAATTCTGGTCACATTTAAACAGCTATGGTTGACCACCGAATTTCATTCACAAGCCTCCAGGTTACATATTCGGTGTTTTCACTTCCTGAGCTACAGGATTGAACTATTTAAGTGACTTATGTGTGTTTATTCAAAAGTTCTGCCCTCACTAAATTTTAGAGTGGAAACGAAATATTTTATTACATACTTGTCACTACAAATATGTTTGTGAAACAGATCTTTCGGGAAGTAAAGACAAGAGTAAGACAAGGCTGCCTACTATCACCCATGATCTTCCTGATTGTCGTCGACTGGATCATGCAGCAAACCGTGAGCAGTGAGAAGATAGGTATACACTGACTGGACCGATGAAAAGACCCAAGAAAAAGATTTCGATTTCACCAATGATGATTTATGTCTAATGTCTCACAAACTCGAAGATCTACGGGTAAAAATCAGCAAGTTGGCAGAAGCGACAGGGCAGCGAAGACGGGACTTCTTTCGGGTGAATGTAGAGAAGATGGAGGTGATGAAGATACCCGACGAACAGTAGCGTCAACAATAAACACTAATCGCCATTAATGGGAGAAACCTAAAGGAAGTCCCTTTCACCCACCTGCACAGGCAGCATCATTCCAACTACAGGCGATGGGACAGACGAGGATGTCAAAACCACGATCGGAAAAGAAAGACAGGCTTTCATTAGTCTGAAATAAGTGTGGAGATCTACTGGACTCCACTCAGCACAAACAGCAACATCCGGAACTTGAACACCAGTGTCTAGTCAGTGCTGCTATATGGTTCTGGAACGTGGCGCGTCACGGAATGCACTTCCAACAAACTACAGACATTCATCAACAGCTGCTGAATACGCTCACTCAATACTGAAAGCCAGATAGATGACCAGAATAATAAGGATAAGCAACAAGGAACTCTGGGAACGAACTACCCATGAACACATCGCCAAACAAATATACAGAAGAAAGTGAAGATGGATTGGGTTGAATTGGACACACACTGATAAGACCATTTGAGGACATCATGCTCCAGGCCAGGGTGTCGACTGGAAGCCAAATGGGAAATGACGAGTTGGGCGTTTGAGCCAAGGGTGACATAGAGGAGATCATGTGAGGGAGAGATGAAAGCTTGTGGGCAGATGTGGAGCCAAGTTGAAAAGACTGTAGAGAAGAGAGTGCAATGCAGGCGTGTTACTGAAGGCGTATGTTCCACTAGGAACGCAAAAGAAAAATAATATAATAATAATTGTTGCGTAATTTAACTGCAAAAAATCTTAAATATAACCCAGTTATTAGAACACGGTAGTTATTTAGCAAAATCTGAATTTAAAGAAAACTAATCAGCTGTATAACTTAACAGAATCAACTTGAAATTCCGTTGTTACGAAGATATAAGTAGTTCCCATAAGTGGTATCACAACTGTTGCATACAAGTGTCAAATATTCATGATATAAGCACTAAAAAATTGATAATAATTGAACTAAACCATTTAATTTTATAAAACTGTTATATCTATGAAAAGGTTGTGCATTGTAGAAATATCGATTTATTTTAAATATATTTGTAATGAATATTCATAGTAAAATGAAACTGGGCATCGTATTCAATCAGTTTCTGATTGTTTAATTTTAGTTGGAAATTACTGCGGAAACATTGTACATTTCAGCTTTAAGGAAGATATTTGAAATATGAAAAAAACACATACAACTCAATGATAAAGTAATACCACCATTTGATGATTCACCCAATAAAAAGGTTTCAGACGAAACTGATGGTAAGCATAATTCATTCTTACGCTAAACAGTTGAACAACAAGTTGTTCTACAACATAGTGAATGATAATTAACTGCAAGTAAGCAGAACTTTATTAACTATCTGCCGTTTCGTATTATTACTATACCATCTTTGATTGGACCGAATTGATCGATCTCTACTGACATATGGGTTCCTGTGCAGATGTGTGGATCCTGGATTCTATTGCTAGCAACTATCCATTATTACTATATCTACCATTAAGCCTACCTTGATAATCTAATCGTTAAGGAGATCTTTTTCTATTGAAATTTAGTGAAATTTCTTCATAAATACTTAAGAAGTTTGGATATTTCTTTGGATAATTATTTTTTTAATCACATCATACCTTGTTGACCGTTCGCCATAGAAACACGGTATTTGGCTTGATAAATAACACCTGTTTGTCGATTGGTAGCTTCGCATGTATAATTGCTCAAATCACTTGGGTCTTCGATCTTTTTTATCATGGTTGATTTTAACAATGTTATTTTGTTGTTTGAATATAAGACAATGTTGGAATAAAAATAAGCGTAAGTACATTCGTAAATGGATGTTAGTGAGGATGATGATGATGGCAATGAGATGGAGATGATTGTTATGAGATGATGATCACCAGATGCAAATGATAACCACAGATAAAATGAAGGGGAAAAGAATTTAAAAAAAATTGGTTATAGCGTTCAGTTAGCATAGGCAACAAATCAACTGATTAATAAAATATAAAATAAAATACTAAATTAATAATAATGTAGCAAGCAATTTAATTAATTATGTTATTCATGCAGTCAAATTTAGTACAGTATATGTGGTATTACTGGTATACTGATATCTTGTTAAATAAAGTGATGGAGATATGATGGTCAGTATTGAATCCCAATATAATATATCATACAGAGGTTTATATATCATACAAATTCTATACGTATATTTGCATACAGGATAGTACGTGTTATCAGCAAAAAAAAGAGAATATCTTAAAATGTTACAACAGTCTTACTATAACACTTTCTTTCTTCACTCACTTTTCAATATGTCTTAATCACACTTTCATATCAGTAGAAGAAATGTTCAAAGATAACTAGACATAAATGTAAGTCTTGACAAGTGGATTGGCTATGAAGCGATATAGGAGGGAAACTCTTCATCTTTTGTTAACTGTAGTATGAAATTCAAGTTGTCAGCAACTAAAATAAGTAATTTTCTTAAGTTATATACGTCTTCATATACGATTAGTGGAAAGGTTTATTTGGTCTTTAAATATCGAAGTTAGAACTATACTTGATAATTGATGGTTATTACTTCTCTATAAAGGTGTTTTATTCTAAGAAGATTAGCAATAATTATCTTTAGCTTAGAAACTGACGCATCTCTATGCTTTCAAACTAAAGAATCTTGAAGTCATCGTCATGAACTTAACATATCAGTTATCCTTAATGATACATAATATCAATTTCACTCAGTGGTATCTTGTTAGATTCTTATTGGATAAATGTAAATTTCTTAGCAATGGCTTATTGTCATCTACTAAGATTTAATCAAATTCGAAGATAAATTTGAAGCTAACAGTGTAAATTTTAATCCGATGAAAATGGTTTGATAATTGTTAAATTTTTTTTATTTTTGCAAATATTATAAATATCAAGTTATGAGAAAAAGGGTAGATTTAAAAACCAGTGTTTTGTAAATAAATCTGTTTTTCAAGACTATTAATTTATAAATATACGAATCCAAATTATTTCGTTGTGACATGCTTCCATATGTAATCAAAGTGATTACAAAACGGCATTCATGATGGTATGGTTTTGGCTCTTTACTTTTGAGTATAGAACAACATTTCAACATTTTATCGGTTCTGTATATTGCTTAACTTAATTGACCGTTAATATCGAGTTGCTGATTGTAGTACTGTTTTGTTATGTTACACTTGTTATATTTTCCACTCACTCTTGCAGATCACTAACGAGACAACTGTAATGTAGGCAAATTGAACGTGTTACCTGACTTTGTACAATTGTTCAGTACAATTCCTTCAGTTCCTTGAAATAACTACTGCCTAAGTATACCTGACAGCAAGTATGTTTGTCTTTTTGTTCGTTTCTCAGGCCTCGTCAGTGAATAGGGAGAAAGGAACACTGTTTAGTCAACCAGAGTTCAGTTAAGTACTGTGTTACATTTCTTTACTAGCGTCATCAGCAGATACAGTCACCAAACCGTTAAACATCAACTGAACTTGAAGCAAGATTTAATTTATAAGTGCGTAAGTTGACAGTAGAAATCTGACAACCTAACTCCCATTTATCATTATTAGGAATGTGTATAAAACAGTAATGTAAAAACCCACCAATAAGTACAGTGTATCACCGCTTGTCACAACTCGACCATTTTGATCAATCCAACGAAAATCAAATAATTGATTCGCCTCAGGATCATCTTCAAACAGACACTGCCTCATTATAGTTCCTTGGCGAAAATCTTCATTTGGTAGTGGTTTGATGGTTAGCTTTAATGCTTTGTATTCATCATCAGTATCAAGGCCACCTGATGATGCTGCATAATTAATAAAAGATATTCTTACATGAAAACATATGAATCATGATAAACAAAGATAGGTATTCATAACAAATAACAATGACAACTATGATGGATGACTGTAGTGGTTCTGTGTTCAAACAACTAGGATAACACCATGCTGTGTGCATGCAGTTAGTAAAATATATATGGAGGGAAATGGAGATATACGAGTTATTCGACGAAATAAAGTAAAATATGTTTAGGAGCGATCAAATGATGACAAAAATGCTTTCATCAAGCACTGGAAACTAATTTTTGTGTAGCGATTTTAAAAAGTGATTATGTTAAGTTTAGATTATCATAATTAGAATTTCCATTCATTTAGTATGCTGTTTTAATAAGTAAATATTCTATATAGCTTGAAGGTTAGCTAGCAGAGTGGTTTGATGGGAAAGATTTATGTTGGAGAAGGCAAACATGAAATGTGATTTGAGTGGAATTTTATAATAACCTTGGGTGTAGACTTTTCTGTTTCACCTCAATATACAATCAAGCTGCCTGACTGTTACTAGCAATATCTTCATTCTGATAATTTTCACTGAAGTTTCAACCCCTTATAAAAAATCGTTTGCGAAATGAGTTGTGAATATGGTAGTCAGTCAGGTGATGCACGATGTGTTTGAGAATTTTTCTGCTACAGTAATATGATGTGTATTGAAGGTCAGACAGACCCAGGTATATTCTGTAAATCTATTTGGTGTCGCTTCAAAATGTACACTTATTTTAAGTAATATCATGTCTAAGATATAAGAACAATTTAAAATCAGTTCAGGAGTGGAAGAAAAGTAGTTCTGTCAATCAAGTAAGTGTTGATGAATATTGCGACCAGTGCACGAACTGCAAGCCATTAGTTCCTCTTTCATTGAGATGTATATTTAGCCTTGAACAACCGGACCTGGAGTGCTAAATATGAGCGGGATTTTACGTACTATCAGTTATCCTGAAGTAGGCTATACGATTAATGTTACACCATGAGAATGTCTTCCCAAATGTTTCAAAAAACTAGAAAATGTTTTAGATGAGAAACTTTGACAACGAATAGTCCAAGATGGTTGTAAAAGATGTTTGAGTATATATTTTCTTAGGTGAATGGAATTTATGCGGAGATTACTAAAGCGTCATTTGACAATAGGAATCTGGTATAAACGAAATCAATACATTGTAGTGTATTTGTTTTATAAAAACTGAAGAAATGTCGTCAAAAAAACAGTGAAATAACGTCATTCAGGTGTCAACCAGTTAATGTTATTATTATTTTAAACTTTCATTGCTTCCTACTTCCTAATTAATTTTTTCCACTGGAAACTACCTTACAATTTTCTGTTTCTGATAACAAACCAAAGAATTTATTTAAAGGGGTGTCGGTTTATTTAAGCATTTAAGTATACGTGTATTTGTATACAATATTACTCGCCTTCTTATGTAAAGCACTATATTTCTCAATACAGTTTGAGGTGTTTCATAAAGAGTTTGTTAACGTTTACACAAAATATGACTGGTAAGACACTAGTTAAGTTTTGCTGGCAAAAATAACACCATCATTACAGAAAATCTTTAAAACTATAAAATAAAAAGTATCTTTCTCAAATAAAATATACTTAAAATGCATCACCGTTTAATTTTGCTAACCAACCAGCTAATTTAGTAGTTTGTATGGTATTCAAAAACTTAGGCATTCTTAGAGCCAACTATTGGTTTGAATTCGTAAATCGTTCGCAAATGTAGAAAGTATTTTTTTTAAATGGTTTCAACTGCTGATAAGTTAAAACAGTGAGTGACTTGAAAGACAATCTCGGCAACAGCTGAAATGACCAATTAGGCTTCGGTATTTAGCTTAAGAAAGTACTTTTCCATGAAATAAAGGAATGTAATTGGCTATCTCATCTCATCTTTGAAGTTACCCTAAAACAGTTTGCTATAAAACTTTGTACAGGTTAGGTGCACAAGAAAGATATATATTCGTAAAAATGTAAAAAAAGGTGTTAATTTTTCTCATTTATTCAGCTGGTCAGTGAAAATATTCAGCTTACCGAGTTTGATATTTAGAACTTTTTCAAAGATTTCGTCATCTGACAGTCGTGTTACTTCACATCGAATTGGATATTGTAAATGTTCTGCGCCGAAGTTTGTTATGTAAAGACGTGCATCAGACGATATTTCTTTTATTGTTCCATCAGGTGCACGTTGAATCCATCTATAGGAATATTGCTCATCGTCAAGAACTGAACAACGTGAATAAAGCACATCTCCAAAATTCACATCTATTGGTCCGGGATCTCCTGGATTGAGTACAATTGTAGGCTCAGAATTTCTACCACCACCCGCCATGGAAATATCATCCTCTATAAGAATATATAGCGATAAATATGGATGTTAACAGAAGCAACTAGAACAAAAAATGATGTGTCTTTTGTAAGTACAATGCACACATATCTGTGTGGCATACATAGAAACAATTTCTTCGGAGAGATACCATATGCACGAAATATTCACTGTTTTATCATATACAAAGTTACACAAATGATTCTATAGTAGAAAGAAAGATCTTGCTGATTTGCACAGAAGGAAGAAAGCGAATTCATAATTTTCAATATTCTGAGGATATTTTCAATTGAAAATTACAGCAAGAAGTGCATAATTAAAAAGTTGCCCTTTTTGAAAATTGAAACATTTTTAATAATCTACATTGATAACAAACCTGATTGGTAAACTCTGGTTCCAACTAAGGAATAATTTAAGAGACATCAACGATAATTCTCAATTTTCATGTCACCAGTTACATTATTTATTGGTAGTTCAGTTACTGTAGAAGGATATTTAATTTCTGATTAAAATTTTAACATCTACTTATGATATTTCACTACCAACTGCGCACAGATATCCTTCAACCAAAATGAAGAGAGATTTTTCAATCAAAGTGATACAGAAACTTGAATTTCTCCTACTAAACTGTTGTTTGTACTAGCGATATTTCAGTTATTTTTTTTCTTTGCATTAGTTGTTCTACGTTAAATAGAACAAATTATAACTGACTAAACAAGATTTCATCGTGCATTTCTTTTAAAAGTCAGGGAAATGAACGCTAAATAACATAACAGAAACTGTTAGTCCCTTTCATAAATTTGTATAAGGTAATTAAGAGACTACATCTTCAAATTACTTCTATCTACATTATGAGGGACTTAGAACAGTACTGAGTTTTGAAAACAGTCATCCCAGGTTACACTGTCAGACGTTATACATGATTACTTACCAACAGCTTCAGTTTGTTCTTATCTCTGACTTAAATTTTCAGTGTTTTCCTGCATGAGAAATTGTCATTTTGGTGTTTTCAGTTTTGAAAGATAACAGAGTTAGTAATTATCTTAATAACTGAAAAAAGATGTATTTTTTGAGGAGGAAGACATGATTATTTTAAGTAATTGAATTATTACTTCAATTTGGACAATAATTTCAAATTACTAATGCATTTTAAATGTCACAGTTGTTGTTTTAAAAATTTGGCTAGTCTAAGTAGATAGAAAAGAGTGTTGTCTTGATTCAAAACGCATTAGATAAATGTATTTTAATTTACAAAAAGTTGACTGAACGATTGGACTGTGGCTATAGCATTCCTTTTATTTTGACAATGCAAAATGGTGTTTAGATTGCCAGTAAATCGATCAAATAGATGGATTTTAGTTACTGCTAATTATAATATTTAACAAATCAAGCTGGTCTACTGTAGAGACAATTATTTTCAACGTGAATGTATATATGCGTCACTTTGTAACAATTTGTTACGCGGGAGGAACCTATGATGACGTGGTCATTGGTAATCATAAAAATATATCAAGTTATATGAATAAGTCATCAGGTAGGTTTACTCAAAATCATAGTACGGTGACTTGTAATTCGTTGAAGATTTGAGAAAGTAGGCTGAAAATAGAGATTTTTCGTTGATAATCATTAATATGTGAGCCTGAAGAGAAAACAGACATCTTATTTTTAGGGTTAGAATATACAGCTGTTAGTATCTCAGATAAAGACATTACAACTCAACAATAAATTGCAGTCTTTAACAAAAGTTATTTCTGTCCCTTTTCAGTATTTGAAAACATCCAAAGAATGTAACAGAATCATTGAAAAAGTCTGTTTTTAGGAAGATAAGATAAAGAACTTTAGGATAATCCTTCATGTTAAGTAATGATCCTGTCATTAGTGATTCATTTTTAGCTCTTTGTTCACTTGGTGCCTATGATATCATGACTGATTCCTTATAAAGTGTTAGCTTTGGATGATATGAATCCCGAGATATTTTAACATTTCTAGCATTTATTCATGGGACCAAGTTCATCATCATTCATATTTATATTAATTTCCCCGACCGAAGAAGTTCACTTGCTGAGCATGGTCAAGATTATAATTAGTAAGATATGAAACTTCCTTAACCTGTAAAATAAGGTACTTATCCTAATAAAAAAAGCTAAGTAAATAAATTTAAACGTTTAATTTTTAGAATACTTATTATCAATGTCAACACAACCATTTATCCAAAAACATTTCATACTTATGTTGATTGATTAAAGTAAGGTGTATTTGAAATGAACACCTGGTTACACAAGGTCCTTATGAAGTTTTGCGTATGTGACGCAATTTCAGTGCTGATACAACCAGACTGAGTCAGAATCCCTCAGTTAATTTGAGATTGTAATTCATTCATCTGGGAAAAGTGGATATGAAGGTGATATTTCTTCAGTTGAAATAAGAAGTAGGAATAGAGGATAAACTGATCCAATACATAACAATCTCTCCAAACCATCAGCTTAAAAAAAGTAATACCCATGCTCTTATCCTATGTAAATTCTCAGTATTCCGAAACAAATTTTCGAATGTTTTTAATGAGTTATTGACCCAATCTACTTCGATATTCATAAGTTCTTGTTAAAGCCTTAAGAAAATTCCGTAGAAGTATGTGACTACTCAAATATGAGTTCACATTCAGGTGGGTATAGTAATGCTAATGGAAGAAGCTATCAGCGCACTGGACCCGTTTTACTATAGTTGCTGCATTTGAGCAGACAGTTAACCTGAGTGAAGTGGTATAAGTAGGTCAAAACATTTTATTTTTATTGTTCACTGTGCAACTAATCTGTAATAAATGTCACCGTTTGAAGATATATCCTGTAAAATGAATCTATCCTTCATAAATCATCTTACTTCCTTAGCCCACATAAATTAACACTTTTTTAGGTGACACTAAATATTTCACTACACGTCTATTATTTGACTTACTACTTAACCACATTCAGTATTCGCGGTTTGCACTCCTGAGGCACATGTTTAGAGAAGTCGATAAAATAAATTGTCTCTTATGGACTTGATCACAATGATAACTTGTTGCTTCAGTTAAACCGAAATGCATATGAATGGCCTCACGGAATGAACATGGCAGTAAAACGCAATAAGTGTCAATATACACTAATAAAATGATAAGTCGTTAGATTTAAAGACAAGAAATACAGTTTTTTTTGACCTTAAGATGACGTTATACACATCTGTAAATGACAATATATAAACATATTTGTTTGACTGAATAAATAAGAACCTATCAACTGAGAGAAGTTCTTAGTACTTGACAGCAGCTTAGAAGCCTTACAGTGGTATTTTTTTATCTGTGCATAAAACGTATGACAAAATTGACTAACTGTAATCACCGACATGTAATAAATTATAACCATATTAGCCCAACAACTTACATTTCAATCTTATAACCAATACCAAACCAGATGAGTCTGCTACTGAAACCAACAGACTGAATGGCTTATACTTTGCAAAAACCTGTCATACAGTGTTTCACAGTAAAGGGAAAAGTGAATTTAGTCACACTGATTTACTTGTATCAATGTTCAACAAATTAATTTTTCCCAGGAGTTAAGTCAAACAGAATCAAGATTTATAGAGATAAGTTCAACATCATCTTTAAAATTTGCATCGATTATCATCTTGTCTTGTTCTCAGTTACCTGAACAAAGTATTCTGAATAAATTGTCATCGACATGCTAAAAGGGTTATCATTTATTCTAGTTATAATTTATCTACTCATTGCTTTTCAGGATGTACTAACTAAAGTGGCAGTTTATCGTCAAATGAAACCTTTTAAAATAATTATCTTATGTATATCAGTGACACTTTGGGTGCATTAATATCAAGTGTTTCATCTAGACAATTTTTTGAATCAGTAATAATAAGCGGATTAGATGAACTAACTCAGTTAATGGGGTATGAACCTCGTTATTGAATCGACTAATACGCGTAATAGTCGCCTATTGCATAAATGAATTATACATGTGATAAGCATAATTTTCAGTAGAAATGTTCGATTTAGTAAGTCACTGATTGAGAATCTACTCTGAATGAAATGATAAGTTATACAAATGAAATTAGCATTCACTGTTTGAATGTATATTGTTCTATACAACTTGATACTGTGTATTCGCAGTTTTCAGACTATGAGAATCTTTATTCTAGACATCTTCAGTCGGTTAAACTTTAAACTCTCCTACTTTGTCCATCTGTCATTGTTTCTATAAACAAAAGTACAGGACATCGTTTTATTGTTATGCTTTTCTTAAGTTTGTAAATTATTCCGCCAGTAAAATAATGACAAACATGAAATATTATGGCAAAAGACATTCCTTTTGAATTAATCAATAAACGTCCCATTTCTTTCTTGGATACATTTCAGGAAATTGTTTATATGAATTGTATTTTGAGGTTTGTGAATATTTTATTGATTTCACGCTGGTATTCATATAATAATTCTGTACGGTGTCTACTCGCCTTAAATACCATTACATTTTTGCTGAAAGCGAAAATCATGTATCATAATGTGTGGCTTAAAAAAAGTATCTTACTTCACAAGTGAGACTTCACATGTGCCTTTAGATACAGATGCGAACACAATCCATAAGTAGATATCTATACAAGCGTACTAGTTAAACGACATCTTAAATCTGGTGTTATCACTGTACACACCTGGTTTTTGGCTGACATGAAAATTCTATTCAGTCGTAAATTAGATAATTTCGCTTTCTGATGAATTCGACTTAATACTTTTTTCCTACCAAATTTAATTCGTGGATTCAGAAGTTAGTTTTATCACTTTTGACTCTATTGTCCTACTTATCTTATTGAATGTTGCTCAAGGTATCCGGTGAAAAGTTTATTGTAAGCTTGAGACACCAGACATTACCAAACCACTTTATGACAGAGTGGAAATCAAGGTGTATTCGAAAGTAGATCCCAGTAGGCCAACCTTTTCAACGATCCAGCGATGGCTCAACTTTTTACAATTCCTGTT